TCAGAAAGCAAACGTATTTTGTACGAATCTTTAATTAAAACCGGTCTAAAAGCGAACACCAAAACTAGTCCACAGTGTACTTGTAGGTCTTGCCAAACACCTGTATCTCCACATTCAAGGCCCGCACATCCGTGGTGTTTCGTCTTGAGATGATTTTACCCTTGATGACATCGCCCCAACTCACTTCCTGTGGCTGATCAATGAAGAACACCGTCTGTTTCCAGTGTGTGGATGTGTGGTAGGGCGATGTGCTGAACATCACCTGTCGCGGCAGCTCAAAGAACGTATCAAAGAAACCCACAAATGCCGACAGTCTGCCCGCCTGTGTGCACTTCAAGCTGAATTCGTAGGTAAAGTTGGAATAATTCAGATCGACAGTCATCATATCAAAATTGGCTATTTGCTCGGCCGATGTCAGCACGTAGCGGGCATCCACCGTCTGCATGAGCGGCTCTTCGATGGAGCGCTTGGCCAGGTCGCCCATATTAACGCCATAGACATCGGACCAGAACTCCACTTGCTCGGCATAGAGCTTGTCACAGCCATAGCCCATCAGGCTGAGCGAGCAGCGATTGGGCAGAATGATGCCATTGGGATTGAGATGATGCTCGCGGGCGTAGATGATGCTGTCCAGCATGGACTCGTACAGCAGAAAGTAGCCCATCCATTCGGATATGATAATGTCGTACTTGGCCTCTGGCAGTTCGGTGTCCTCCAGCCGCCCCTTTACCAGCTCAATGTTCTTCACATTGTTTTTCCTACACAGCAGAGGGACATTTAGTCGTAATTTAAATTAAATTTAAAGTGAGTGGCAGCATACCTGACTATATCCATGGCGGTGTAAACAATCTCCGAGTTGTCTATGCCAACGATGCGAGAGGCGCCCGCCTGTGATGCGAATATGGAGAGAATTCCCGTGCCACAGCCCACATCCAGCACCGTCTTGCCCCGCACATCCTCCGAATTAAGCAGCAAAGCGGAACGATAGCTGTTTGTGCGCACCCAATCGCTGAGCATTTCGTGATGTATGCCAAAGTGCGAATAGCTGTTGAAGTATTCCTTGTCGAGGGAGAGATTGTTGCGCGGCAGATCCTTAGTGACAGTCTTTCCATCCTTGCCATCGCCGCCGTCGTGGACCCTCTGCAGCAGCTCCTTGTAGTCTTTGCGCATTCGTTCCATGTCCTCGTTGGCCTGCTGCAGCAGCTTGGATTGCTCTGCAATGCGCTGCAGCAACTCGGGAACAGTCGGAAACTCTTTCTCAGCCTTCAGCGTTTCATAGTCATAGCACAGCCACGGCTCGTACTCCACGGGCTTCAGATATTTCTCATCGTCCCACAGGATCTGCTCTGTAGAGAGCAGCTGCTCGGCACTTATTTTGCACACCCTTATGTAGTTGATAAGCTTGATGAATGAATACTGATCCATTTGGAATTTCTTTTGAAGCTGCGACAGATTAACTTTGTGACTGCTGTCCAGGTGCTCAATGGCACTCCCTATGCTGGGGAGTACCTCTGGGCAGAACAGACAAGTGGTTGGCTCCTCGCCTTGGTCCTTTTCATCGTCGTCGTCATCCATGTCATCATAGTCATCATCATCGGAGCTGGCATCTGCGGGTTTAGTTTCCAGTGCTTCCTCCTCCTGGGACTTGAATGCTGTTTAAAGACATTTCTGTTTGATTTTGTGATTGTTTCTAGGTACCAGCGCTGACTTACTTGTAACTTCGGCCTCTTTCATGTTTATTTTGTGTATGGGTTAATGTAAAAGTTACCAGAAATCGAATAAATCGTTTAATAAATAAATCTGTGTATAAATTTCGCCAGCACGTGCAAAATAGCGCGCCACTAGTGTTGGGAAACACAGCCGAACAGTGTGGCCCTCTCACAGTCGAACAGCTGTTCCAGCACTTGCATAATTCCCGTTTACAAAATATGCTGCAGGTATTTAATTGAATTTATCAAATAAAACGTAATTAATCACTATTAATTTAATTGTTAGGTGCTGAAAACTTTACGATGGGCGCAGCCCGTGCGTGCACTATCATCTGTGACCACCAGCAACGTAGCAACAAATGTTACAACCACAGCAGCAGTTCCGGCTCCTGAGCCGGATACACTTTTCAGCAAATTGGAAATTGAGCTGCGAGGCATCGATCCGGCCGTGCTGAAGAGTTATACCTGGTTCGCCAACACCGCCGCAGACCATTTGGGCATTGAGAAGGGCAAGTGGTAAGTAGGCAGGCGATTCAGATACAGTCAAAATAAATCTTTAATTAATGGAAATGTCCACCCACAGCTGGTCCCCTCGCAAGGCCCACCATGAGCGTATGACATTGCTGAAGTCGGTGCACATCTACAAGAAGCATCGTGTACAATATGAGGTGCGTACGCACTTTCGGTACATGAATTTTCACAAGCTGACCGGCTCCACTTTGGACACATTTCTGGAGTACATTGAACGCAACCTGCCCGAAGGTGTGGCGCTGCAGGTGTCCAAGACAGAGCTCCAGCAGGTGCCCGAGCACTTGCGCCAGCCCCCAGAGCAAGTGTAACCGCAGCCCGAAAGAACTCTTAGCCAGTAGGACGAAATTGTTATTAATAGTTATACTTGGAGCCCCGTTTCGGGCGCATTTATGCGGCCATTCGAGCACGTATTTCAACAGCGGCATCCGCGCTCAGATTAGGCTGATAAACAACAAAAATAAATTGAAAATATAAGCACAATCGTAGCCATAAACCGAACTAGCACTCGGACCCCACCCGCGATTAACGACGATAAGTGCTTGGGCCAAAAATATTGAAATCAAATTGTTAACTCCGACGTCGTTGTCGTATCTTGACTCGCGCACACACACACACTGGCACCTGGATACGGGCCCACACTTGAAGTGCGGGCAAACAAAATCCGGACAGCAGCACGCTTACTCCTCAGTAGCGAGGCTAAGCCGAACGGAAGCGGATCAGCAAACATGCAGCGGGGATACTTCTTGCAGGCCGTTCTGGCCATAGCCACACTCTACGGTTGTCTGGCACCTGCCGAGTGCCTATACGAGAGTCAAATCCGTGCCTTCCTCGAAGCGTTCCGCATGCGCATGTGCCATCCCATACCAAATATGGGCTTGCCCGCGCTGGATCCTTTCATTCTGGGTCCTGGCCAGACGTCTATGAATAATAAATACCTCATAGAGTAAGCAAAGCTATGATTAGAGCTGTGAGAAGGTATTTAAACCATAGACTTTCAGCTTTACCGGTTCCATTGAGGACTTCCAGCTGCATGGAGTGTCTGATTTTGAGGTGACCCAGCTTACGCTTAACCCTGTGCCGGGTCTGAAGAGCACCATCCAGATCAACTTTCCACACACCTACTTCCAGTCGCTGTACACGGCCAAGGGTTCGCTGGCCTATATCATGAATCTAGCTGGCGATGGCAATGCAGAGTACGCAGCAGAAAACCTTTGCCGAAAATCAAACTGATTACTTATAAACCCCACGCACTCTCTTTTCCGTAGAGCCTCCATCAAGGACTTTTCGTTCCTCATCTCTTTCAGGCTGAGAACTCTGTCGCCCCTGGGCATCACTTCTCTGCAAATTGAACTTTACCTGGGTGATTTAAAGATCAACTTTGACAACCTCCTGGAGGAGGAGCGCATCAATGATTTTGTGCATGCGCTGGTCAATGAACTGGGCGTGGAATTGCTCGATGATATCTGGAGCTATGAACAGGGAACGGTGGTTACCAAGGTACAAACGGTGAGTGTACCATTTGATTGCCTTTAACGAGAGTGCACTCATCAGAATTCGTTTCTCTTTGCAGCTTCTTAACAACTTTTTGGGTCAATACTCGCTTCAGGACATACTCCAGATCATAGCTGGTGGAGGAGGCGAGGGAGGCGAGAGCAAGCCCATCTTTGAGGGCGTCGAACCCGACTGTAAGCTTGAATCAAACTCAAGCAACCAAGACTGAAAATGTAATTGTAATTAAAATAGCTTTAGCTAATAAAATGTGTAAATATGTACATATATAAATAGCAAGAAATATTCGATGAACTTAATTGATAACTGGAAATATACAATTTATGAACCGTTTGACATTTTAGCTATATTTACTTATCACACTGATATAATCATATAACAACAAAAACTGAGCTAATAATGAACTCCTACCCGTACATCTCTATCAATATCCTATTTGCATTTAAATCCGTCTCTTATCTGGCCAAATATTCGCCACTCCCGCGATAGGCGCTTGCCACAAAGGCAGTTCCAGCGGAACACCTCGTTTAATCGCTGTGGGGGTCCCAGATAAGTGTTATTTATATTGTTTATTGATTTACTGCCAGTTTGCGTGCAAAACAAGATCAAGTAGCAGATTAGCGAATACAGTTGCAGTGTCCTACGTATTCGAAATGGCTTTACGGCGGGGTCCTAATAAACCAGGTTTAGGTACATGCTGTATCGACTTGAAAGTGCCTCTTGTGCAAGTTTAACTCTTGTAAATAATTCATTAACTAACACCGTCCTTAATGTCAGAATGTTTGTGTAGTAGAACACAATAGTAGCTACAGATGCCTCTCTCCCCAGTAGCCCTAGTTTTTAATATTTATCTCTCAAGAGTAAATCAGTAAATATTTTTAGAACCAATGTAACTACCTGGCGAGGGCTTAAGGCACTACTTAGCTCTTACTTTTCACTTATTAATAATAACATTTTAGTGGTATATTCGATGCCACCTGTTATGTAAAAAATACAACATACCCGCGTGATTTTTACACGTTTAACAGGTAGCCCACCTTTACCCTAATCCATTTGCAAATGCGCTAATGATAATGACCCCGTTATAGAAATTCCTACTTTTATGCCTTACAATCTTCTTTGAGGTGTGTGTAGCGAGTTCTAAAAGCAAAATATTTGCACACCTTGAATGGAAGTTGGACATTATTTGGGCAGCAAAAAAATAATGCTTAGCACTTATGTGTGCCGAATAGATTAAACGCAAATACAAAATAGAATATAAAAAAATATAACTCAATTCTATTCGATTTTGTTGATAACTGCTAATAAATGTGATGTAGAATTTGTGGTGCTCCACTATGATGTGCGTTTCCCTTATAGATATGGATCCCAGCCGCAGAAGAGCTGGCATAGATTGTCAGCCAGAGTGGCTTCATTGATCAGACGTTCCACTTGAGCCTCCACATTCGAGTCACCGAGTGTACCGTCCTCCCGACCATCCAGTTTATTTTGCACCTGAAGCAAAGCTCTCTGCGCCACCAGATTAATCGATTCCTCGCCTGCAAAATATCAATTTGTTGCAGTCTGATGGATACAATTTATTCATTGGCAAACCTTTTCTGGTCTCCTGGGTGTTGGTTTGCTTAGTTTTGAGTACACCCCAAATAAACAGTGGATCGTAGAGCAGAACCTCGAGTATGGTGGTGAACACCGACTTGTAACGCCTCAGTATATGTACGGTGGCCTCGCAGGACTTGGTGAACACACCCTTCGTGCCACAAATGCCCATGGGTGCCACAAAGTCACGTGTAAGCCGAAAGGGAACCGTCTCTGGTGTTGCACTTATCTTGCCCTGCCCAAAAGCAATGCCTGAAATAGGGAATATATTAAAAATAATCAATATTTTTGGGTGTAAATCAGAGCATACCAAAATCAATGTGTATCACTTCGGCTGTCTGCTGGTCAATCAGTATATTTTGCACATGTCGATCACCCAGTCCCAGTACGTAGCCCACCATTGAGGTGGTGGCCACGCTGTTGGTGTAGGCCAAACGCCGCTCAAACCAAACGCCCGGTATGGGGAATTTCTCCAGCAGAAAGTAGTGAAACACGGGCGTAACGTGTGCGCATATATCCTGAAAGACTTCCAAACGCTTATCCTTGGACGACTTTGCATGGCTCTGTAACATTAACCATCAGTTTGAGCTGCCAAAAAAGCTAAAATATTCACCCGCTTACCGCGAGCAGGGCGCGACATGCGTTGTTCTTCCAGTCATTTGGATGATACTTTATGTGGGCGCCGCTCTTGCAGTCAACTCCGACCAGATACTCGGCGACTGGCATGGAGTTGGGGCACCACTCCAAAATGCCGCTTCGCATAGACAGTGGCGTCACGGTGTAGGTGCGCAGCTGCAACTTGCGATCAATGAACTCCGAGTCCTGTTTGAGCAGCTGATTGACAATGCCAAAGACCTGCTGCATGACGGCATCCTGACGCAGATCATCCTTGCCCTTGATCAACTGTGCGCGCGTCTGGCCATCGGAGCAGACACACTTGACCCGAATGGGCGCATTAATGCCACCGCATTTGCCAATTTCATTTGTCCACTTGCAGATGCCTAAAAAGTGAAGGATCAGGTACCGATTGCTCGTCTGACTTTAACTTGAACCTACTGGTAAGATTGTATTCCTTGTCGGGTCGAATTGGCAGCTCCAATGTGGGACATTGAATGGCATCGAGATTCCTGTGACGCCTTACCTTCTCGAATTGCTTCAGCCGCTCTGTCATGCTCACCGGTTGATTGCGGCTCTCCGTTTTTCCATCGTTTGCAAACGCCACAAGAGCTAAGAGGCATAACGAACGATTAACAAACTACACATCTGGGGAGGTCAATCATTCTGCCCACCTGGCAGCACTGCATCCAGCTGCTTGCTACACTTGTCTGCATTGGGATTCTTCTCACAGATTTTGCTTATAATTTTGCGTGCGATTGCCGCCCGTTCCGTGTTGCTGCCATCGCCATCCATGCGAGCCAAAACCAACGGATACAGCTTGTAGAATGTGTGATGCGGATGATCCTGGCCGCAGCGTACCAACAGCTCGCACAGGATAGTGAGTAGCTTGGCATTCTTGGAATTGAGACGACCCGTCAGTTGGTTGGTGGCACAAATGAACTTGTAGCTGGGCACTGTCAGGATCTCCTCCTGGATGCACTTTTGCAGCTGCTCGTTGTGGGCATTGGTGAACCACAGTGAGATGATGCGATAGATGGCAGCGCTGGAGAAGCCACTGTCCAGCTTGCAATAGGCAATGTGATTCCTCACAGCGGTGCACAAATGGACGGTTAGATTATTATCGATGCGCTTCAGCTCCTGTTCGTCCAGCATAGCGTAGCGCTTCATTTGAAAGGAGATTACGCGTTTGTCTTGGGACTCGCGATGCGATACTGTTTCCGCCACCAGACGATTCTGCTCTATGATGTCCTTCAGCGTCTGATAGTCCTGCGAGTGGCGATACTCGTGCAGCTGCTGGTACTCCCGATCGGCATACTTGGCCATGGCCTCATAGGCCGCCGTGCGTTGCTGCCTGGCAAAGGCTTCCAGCTCCTGCCACTTGAACAACTGCGAAAACGCCGCACTCAGTTTATCTTTGTGCAGCACAAAGTCATCAATCAGCTGAATCGAGTAGCTAAACTTGTTCTTCAGCACTGAGCTCAGGCTGTCGGCATTGCAATCCATGAGGAATTCTCCCTGCATGCGCAGGGCAGGCACACGCTGCAGGCAATAGATAAACTCCTCGTTCTGCACCACATACTCCAGGATGGCCTTGGCTATCTGATGATTACCCATTTTCACATTCACATCGGCATCCTCCAGCAGCACGCTGATCTACAATGGCAAGCCAATTAGCAATGAAAGCAGGAACACTCTTTCCCATATCTTACCTTTGTGGAGGCCTTGATGTTGGGCAGCTCTCGCAGCATGCCAATGTATTTCGAGGCCATGTTCAGCTTGCCCGCCGCCTTGCACTCGCTAATGCCCTTCAGCAGATACGTGTCCATAGGGTTGTCCTTGTAAAAGTCCTGCATGCGACGGCTGGCGCGTGTGCCGGCCATCTTGATGAGTGCAATGTGATGCGAAATGATGTACTCCTTGCATGAAAAGTTGCCATAATTGAGCTCCAGTTCCGTCTGCCATTTGCCAAAGACTTGAGACATCTGCCCGGGGCCTAGCTGTGCGCCAAATTGGATCTGTTTAGGGTACGAATTCTGGTTTAATGAATGATCAAAGATGAAATAATAGACTGCTTGTAAGAGACCTGACAAAAGTCTTCTGCCTGCTGGAGTGTGCACAGCCACGTGAGGTATTTGTACACACTCTGCAGGCACTCCATGCTGTTGTCTTGCAGGATCCTGCGCACGCACTGATAACCACTCTCAATGGCCGATAGGCTGTTCTCCTCCTCGCGCTGTCCAATGCTCTTAAGCGCCACAAAATGATGCCGCTTGAACTCTTGCTCCAGATTAATGGTAGCCCCAGCGAAGGGCTTCAATTGTTGTGGCCGCTGATCGGTTGGCGTATCCCACTGGCCCAGACGCCAAAATATTTCATAGTCTGGCTCCTGCTGCTGCTGCTGCAGTTTGGCTAACGACCACACGCCGTTACCCTTCATAAGATCCACAGCCATTTGGCTACACGAGCTATCCAGGTGATCCGACTCCAGCAGAATGGCGGACAAGTCGTTGTTGCGACCCAGAAAGTAGACACGAGAGCGCATGGGATTGACAAATCCGGGAATGGCATCCAAACAGCCAATCGACTCGTAGGCCTATTAAATTATACGTTTAGAATATCGAACAGTGTGCAGAATTACGCGCACCTTTTTGGCGGCCGCCTGAAAGGACTCATCCTCCAGGCATTTGGACTTTGCCTCGCCGCAAGCCCACAGCTCCAGGTACATAATGCTGAGGAAATATGCCTGACAATGATTACTGGCCTTTACCACATTGCCCAGGTTGATGGGAATACTCCTGCGTGGGTTACAAATAATTATTTTAAAATATATAAACATTAGAGAGCGGTTTAGAGCCACCAACCAATTATTGACAATCCTTATGCATTCGCAGATGTGCAAGCACTTCTTGATGGCACGCTTGTTATGGAAAATATCTTGGGTATTTGGCGCTGCCTTGGAGCTGGTGAATCCCTCAAAAAAGTAGTCCAACATTTTGCAGAGATTCACCAGGTTCTGCTGCCGTTCGGTGGCCAGCAGTAGTTTAATAAACGGCTGCAGGCAAATCTCTGCAAACGGAAAGGAAGTGGCAGCCAAAGCATCAAATCCCTGCCAGCTGCAAGCCTTAAAAACCTGCGACACAAAAGCGCACATCCATTGCTCATAGTCCAGGCCCTGGCTGGATTTGAGTGCATTCAGCCAGTCTATGGGCGGTATGTGCTGATATGCATCCAGGCAACTAGATTTCATTGAGTTGTCAGCGAAGATTTGTAGGTGCTTGAAGCGATCTAGGAATTAAATTTAAGAACGCATCAAAAAGGGAAGCCCATTAAGAGTTAAAATCGTTTTCTTACGCATTATCGTGGTGGCGGGTTTACTGTTTACAACCTGAATGGCAACGGCCACCAGAGCCTCTTGTGTCTTGGGGTCAAACTGGAATAAATACTTCTCCAGCAACTCACATATAACGACCAGTAACTTATCCATAGGCTCTAGCTCTGACTGCAAACTAAACCATTAGAAGTTGTACAAAACAGAGCTTTCGTTTTACCTCTTCGAAGGAATCAAAGTCGGTTTGGAAATAGTATGAAATGTTGTTTAACTTTAATGGTCCTATTTGGGCCAGGCACTTGAGGGCATTCAGATTGCTGCTCTCTTTACTCTGAGCACATCGAGACATTTGAATGAGACGATTGATCAACTCAAATAGCAGAGTTTCGTGCGCCTGAAGCTGGTCCTTGTGCTCGGCAATCTGTGGTGTGGAAACTTTTCATCAGTCAGAAATGGCAAACACTTTTTGTGCACTCACATAGTCCCTGAGGTCTAGCAGGCGCTCTGCTGTTGGATTTTTAAGAAATGAGCCCAAAAAGCTGACCACATTAGTCCTGTCGATTTGTTGGACTGCAGTATTGGATTTCTGTAGAAACTGACACTCCGAGTGTTCCTCCAACAAGTTTTGTATGCTGATATCGGAGCTGTGTGCACTTAGTATCTGATTCACAACCTCCACGACCTTCTCGTTGACGGATTTCACATCGCAGTGCATCCGAAAAGAGATCAACAGCTTGGCTATCTCACTCATGTGACTCGAGAAGTAAGACAAGTTAAAACCGGGCTTGCGCAGCAGTAGAGCCAGAAAGGAGAGAGCACACAGATGCACCTGACTGCACTTGCCTGGAAAAAGGGTTAGAGATTAATATCTTAAGTGGACTAGTCTCTGGCGTGCCATTCACTGTGCAGCAGCAGTCTAACGACAAAGAACCAAATGTCGCGCACAAAGTAGGAGCACGGAATGCTGGGTTTTGGTCCCTCAACTGCCAGTGCCGCATCGTATAGAGCTTCGGCTATGGCGCAGTAAACAAAGAACCTCTGAATGGCTCGGCTGGAAAAGATGGCATTGAAGCAATCGGTCTTTAGGCGTCCCAAAAGTTCAATTAAAATGCGTGGATGTTTGACCTGAAGCTTGGACAATGCCTGAAGTCGATGAGCCTTAGTGGATCGGCTATCAGGACACTGAAACGTCAACCATTAAAGATAAAGCATTAAAGACTCTCTGGCGTTTACGCACAATAAACCAATTGAGGCATTTGAAGAGCGATTCTCCTGTCAGATTATACCAATTACGTATTTGACTGCAGGGCACAGAGGGTCCAAATAATCTCTCCATTTCGTGCGGATCGTGCAGCTGACTAATCACAACGTACAGCGTCTCCACATTGAGAGACACTTCCTTGGGTTGCAGCTTATAGTGCTGCAGGTTCTTTGCCAGCAGCAGATGATGCTCCCGAAAGTCCTGGCCTTCGCTTTCGGCGCAGAGGCTGCTCTGGGGCAGCACAAATGCAGCCAACGTAGGCAGAACATCCTAAAGAAATACAAGAGTTTGTACAGAGTAAAAACTATCATTGAATAGACACACCTCTATGCTGCTGGACTTTCTGTTACGTTCTATGTCCTCGCTCTGGCCATAGAGGAATGTATAGGCCATTATTCTACATCTTTGGGCTTTTCGGAAAGCATCCTTTTTCTCATAGCACAGAAAATAGGGGAATCTGTGGAAGAGCGCTATAGGATTATAGAACACATGCTAGAGCTATTTACTTGGATATGGGCCAATGCTGAGAACTCCACTTGTGCAGCAGTACATCCGCATAGGGACGAATGCGTTCTCGCATGGTTTGATCAGCACCAGGAACTTGACTCTGCAGTGCCACAAACTCAGCTACAAAGACGAGATCAAAGATGAGAGAAGTGTTTAAAGGGTATTTTCGAACTGACATACACTCGCCCAGTCTGCGCAGCGCACAGTGATACAGCAGCTCCTTGAGAGCAATCTCCTGATGAAACGAACTGTGGGCAAAGATGGCCAGAAGCATTTGAACCATCATCGAGTTGCTATTCCGTGTGGCATCCTCATCGCTGAACTGTAAGGAACGGTAATTGGATCAACATGCACGAGGGTTGACATTTGTTGCACTTGCCTCAAGCTTTTTGAATTCAATGCTCTCGTAGAGCTCCCTGCAGAACTCCCAGTGACGCAGCGAATGGCTGATGGGATCGCTGGCCACACACTTTGTGTTGAGTATAATGCCCAGTGAAGCGATCGTAGCGAAGCGAACATCCAGCGTGGGCATGGTTATAAATTTTGTCATGGACTTGCAAAGCACTAAAAAGTTCTCCATCAGATAAATGTCCGGGCAGTGCTTGGCAATCGAGCCAACGCAGCGCACAATTTTAGCTGTCAGTCGTGACGTATAGGATTTCTTTAGAGCAATCTTTAACAGCGAACTTAAAGCCATCCACATGTCATCCAGCTGCTGTTCCGTATGGTAAACAAAGTGAAAAATGGCTACAAGGCAGGGAAGAACTTTACTTAGAATGGGCTCAGCTATGTCCTGGGGTTACTTACTGGGTAAATAATCCACTACCTCATCAATGACATCCAAATCGAGATGATGATGCTGAAAGACGTACTTCAATTTATCCACCAGCCACACAATGGCTACCTCCGATATGCTGTCGCAATTGCAAAGCATCTGCAGTGGTGGAAATATCAAAAGTATTATTTATGGCTAAGATTCTTTATAGGAGTTGAACCAACCTTTGTCACAAGCAGCACATCTTGAGGCTTCCAATGCATAGTTATTTTTGAAATGTGTTCAAAGGATTCATCACGATGCGAACTGAGCGCACACAGAGCACCCAACATGTGCAAACAATGAGTGGTGATTGTAGCATGAACTGAATTATCAGAGCGCTCTCGGCGCATGCCTATAAATGTCAGAAATATTAAATTTAAAAAAACTAAAATGCACTTCGATCGCCTTTACAATGTTCTTTGAGTGTAGATCCTACGAATTCTACCAGCATTTCTATGGGTTGTCTTTCCAGATAGTTGAGAAGAATCAAATTAGATCGGAAAACCTCAAGCACGGCGATCTGTTGCCGCAGAATCTCAGGCAGGTCACTCTCATCCATCGACTCCGAACAGTTGGCTTTGTACTGGAACTGAAAGCACAGCAGAGGAACATCAAGCAGCAACATAAAGCTAGCAAATTAAGCCAATACCCACCTCAATGTGGCTGAGAAACAGGCCAATCCTCTTGATCAGCGGACAGCCAGTAAAGTTTTCACGATCAAATACCTTGTAGTAGAGAAGTCTCTCCATGGTGCAGACAAACCGCTGCAGGCTGTTCAGATTCTTTAGTATGGCAGCCGCTTGACTGTCGGTGGCACTCTGAAAGTTTAAGCTTCGCATAAGGAACTCGTAATTGCTTTGGTAAAGGCAATTCTTGGCAGGCGGCTTGTTTTCGCTCTGCAGCTGCTGACTGGCAGAAGACATGACAGGCGTCATATATTCCTTGTCCAGGCATACCAGTTGCTTGTTGTATCTATAAGCTGAAAGATTCTGATCGGCAGGCAGTGTGCCATGGCCTGAGTCTTCGTTGCACAATTGCTGCAGCTGTTCCTCGTCCAGAAAGTTGATGATGCTGATCGAAAATGTGTCTGCCAGTAGGTTGGCATCAATTTTGGCTATATTGTGTATCACCTGGGTGACGCTGCTTTTCTCACCGCTGCCGTAGGCCCAACTAATGATGGGCTCCAGCATGTCCGAAGCTTTATCCTGCCCGCATTGTCCCGCCCGTATGTAAATCTCACGTATGGTGGCAATGCATTCGTTGCGCTTCAGCAGCTCATTCGAGGTGATGGTGTGCAGCAGGCTGGAGGCCATTTTCTGATTCAATTTGTCTTGTCTAATCAGCATCTGCAGCATTAGCTGCTTCTCCATGATCTCCTCGCTGATTGTGGTGGATACGGATATCAAATGGTTGCCCATTTGACTCCACAAGTCAGCCATAAAGTTCTCCTGTATAGAACGAGACTCCAGCAGCTGCCGCTCCTTGACCAGCAGGCATCGCACGCATAGACGCACATTTTTCAGGTTTCTGGCATTGCCATATATTTGCAGGACACCCAGAACAGTGCTCAATGCCTGCTGGTAGTTGGCCACATTCAGGATTACGCTGCTCAACTGCAGTAGCTCTGTGTAAATGGCAAACCAGACGTCATTGAATGTGGTTTCTTTTTTGTCAATCAGCGCAAACAAGACTTCCATTTTGTCCGCAGGTCTTGGCACCTTCTTGGGCGCATCACCCTCACCATTTGCATCGTTTTTGCGTGTCTCCAAGTCCCAAAGGACCTGCAAAGCATAATCTTTAGTGCATAGTTATGGAATATATATATAACTATTTTTCTTACTATATACATAACCAGTGCGGACATCTTGATGAAGGGCTCGGAGAATTTGTCATTGCTCAGTTGTGCCGACTTGTAGCGCACCAAAGAATTCTTGCGTATCTCCATATCCACAATAGTTTTCAGCCGAAGCAGCGTCTGTGGCCAGTTCTCGTTGAGCGGCACACCAAAGGTGTTGAAATCACAAACGCTGAGCTTGGGATACAGCGAATGCAGCGATTGGATGACACACTTGAAGAATATGTTTCTGGTGTCGTCGCGAAACACATCCTCATTGTGGAATTCGCACAATTTAGGCAGAATCTCTTGCATGTGGAGGCACAATTGATGATGGTAGTTCACAGAGAGCTGCAAGAACAAATATGCATAAGAGATTTATCCACACAGATTATTTAATAAGTGTCGCACCTCTGTGGCAAATAAATGATAGAGACGAACAATTTCCGGTTTCCTGGCAGCATTTGCCGTCTCGGCAAAGTTGGTCAGCCCTGGCAAATATTCCACCAGGTCCACGTGCAGCTGAACCCGCTCTTGAGCCAAACTGACTGTCTTGGTAATGCATTTCAATATCCTTGTGATTAGAAACTGGTCCCCATAGACATTCAGCTCAAAGAGGTACGAGAGAATGCCTGTAACAAAGCAACAGGTGGAAATATTACCATTTTTATGTCCCCCTTTTGAAGCCATCACTTACGGCTGTATTCGTTTATTTTCAGCTCGCGCACATAGCTGGGCGAGGAGTAGATGCCCCGCTCCAGTAAATTCATTAATGTATCGCCAAAGTGCTTCACCACAGTGCGTATTCTGATGCCATCTCCGAAGGCACTAAAGAGGGCTGTCTTGGCTAGGAAGTGACCCCTTCCGGATGCGTCGCTGCCGGCTAAACGAAAGAATTTAAGCACATAAACTACATACCCTAATAAACATGAATACCTTCCACATTGAATATGGTAATCTTTTCCAGAACATTTCCATACAAATAGTTTTTTGCCGATAATAACTTGAAGGCTTTCTCGTTTGCATCTTGCAAGAGCGAGGCGTGCTGTGGAGTGGAGAAATAATGTCAGACGGTAAGTATATGCAGCTACCGGTACACCAACTTTGAAAAGCGCCTCCTTGGAAGCTTCAAAAACACTGGGCCACGACAAATCATTCCGTTTGTCCAATATCAGAGTATTTAAATCATCCCTGCAGTTGCCCAACTTTTCGTACAACTGCTCAATGCCCTTGTTTCGTGTGGCTTGCTTTTCCGAGCGTACATCGCCGAGTATACGCTGAACTTCATTTAACAGTCCACTCATTGTTCCATTCCCAGGGCATCAAGGCAGTTTTAGACAAATTTCGGACAAATGTTTATGAATTGGAAATTGAGTCGCGGCAATTGCAGCCCGTGTATATCGATATCAAGTTGGATATCGTTGGATATTCCTAGTGTTGGAAAATGCTAGTAATCTCGTCTTATTTATCACACAAAAATATCGCAATCAAATTTATAAAAAAAATTCAATAAAATACCATTATACTGTATGGGGTTGGTGGTTTTATGCTTTCATTTTTGCTGATCTTATTAGTTCAATAAAAGTCAAGCAACATGCAGCTAAAAGTGAGCAGCATTGTTTCCCAACATTTGGCACGGAACAAGCAACATTAAGTACCCTTGGAGGGATGGATATCCTCGAATTGGGGTAGTTTTGGAAATCTCTGGCTCCAATCAATTCAAAAACATTCTGTGTTGGTAAGCCATCTCAACGATATTTTTATACCCGTTACTCAAAGAGTAAATAGGGTATATTGTAGTTGTGGAATTGTGTTCAAAAATATGTAACACGCAGAAGGAACCGTCCATCCGTCTGTCCGTGTAGTTTGTCGGCTAGTTCTCAGAGACTGTAAGAGCTAGAGCCACAAAATGTTGCCTCCAGACTGCTGTATCCTCAAACTGAAACCAGTGTATTTCCAAGCTAAAAGAGCGTGTTGGCGTGAGAAGTAATGTAGATGTTGCTGAAAGACGTAGAACAAATTTAAAAAGTAAAATTCAAAATTTTGAAAAAAAAACCACGAAGGTACATATTTTCTACTGAGTACCGGGTATAAAAGTTGTGACGCGTAAGAAGCGTCTCACACGTCCTTTCTCGTTTTTCGCAATTGGTTATCTTGCCGATTAAATATTACTAACCTCGAATTGCATTGCTTCGGTCTAAAAATTTCTCAAAATGAAAAATTGAAGCAAAAGTCTCGATTTAACAGACAATTTGAAGAGTGACAGTCTCCAAATGTCAACTACAGAGCACATCAGCGCATTTGAGCTAGAAAACCCCCAAGGCAGTCCATCCGGTCGACTCGCCTTTTTAGATTATATCTCCCGATTTTCTCGTCCCTGAACTTAATTTAGGATTTGATTGAGCAACATTAAAGACACATTCAAAAACACAAATGTATCAAATTGATTATATTTAATACAAAATCTTCGAGAAAAACATGGATGTGAAAATTTTGAACCAGATAAAAGAGTTGCTGTTTGTAAATCCAAAGGATATTGAAAGTGATGATAGTGTAGGTTTATGCTTTTATATATAATTCTTTTTTTTCTAATTACGAAGAAGAAAGGAAAGAAATGATCACCAATCAGGAAAATATGATTTTGATACGTTTTTATTTAAAAAAATAAGTGTTATTTATAAACGGTATATTTTACGGCATATTTTGAAACTGAAAAAGTATTTTTCGGTATATTTTCGAGGCCCTGACGGTATATTTTATAGGTCACACTGCTTAATTGTCAAAACTGGTGAGAAGTGATATAGTGCATGCTCCTTCTGTCAATTGGTCAACCACTCGGCCTCCTTCTCTGTCTTTTGGTCAACCACATGCCTCCTTTTGTCTTTTGGTCAACCACATGACTCGTGCCGTATCTGCTCTGAGGTACAATGGCTGGTCAAATGGGCGTGTCGGTGAAAGAAGTGATATAATGAATGCTCCTTCTGTCTATTGGTCAACCACTCGGCCTCCTTCTCTGTCTTTTGGTCAACCACATGCCTCCTTTTGTCTTTTGGTCAACCACACGACTCGTGCCGTATCTGCTCTGAGGTACATTGGCTGGTCAAATGGGCGTGTCGGTGAAAGAAGTGATATAATGAATGCTCCTTCTGTCTATTGGTCAACCACTCGGCCTCCTTCTCTGTCTTTTGGTCAACCACATGCCTCCTTTTGTCTTTTGCTCAACCACATGCCTCGTGCCGTATCATCTCTGAGGAAGATTGGCTGCTCAAATGGGCGTGTCGGTGAAAGAAGTGATATAATGAATGCTCCTTCCGTCTATTGGTCAACCACTCGGCCTCCTTCTCTGTCTTTTGGTCAACCACATGCCTCGTGCCGTATCATCTCTGAGGAAGATTGGCTGCTCAAATGGGATGTCGGTGAAAGAAGTGATATAATGAATGCTCCTTCTGTCTCTGGGCACTAAGCAAACAACTCATAGAGTGGTCAAACGTTGTAAAAACTGGCTGCCTAATCAGTTTGGTAGATTGGCTCCCAGTGCCTTCGGCTCTTGGTGAGAGAGACTTCGGCTGAGAGAGTTTGGCGTTGACTCTCTTGAGCATTGAACGCAAAGCGACTCTCGCAAAAACAAAGTTTTCTTTTTCAAGTCTGCTTCGTAATTGCTTGTGTGCGGTGACACATACATAAATGATGGCAATGCGTGTATCTATTCTCGACTTCATATGCTGTTTAATTTTTAGCATTTTTTTGAGCTCACATACCCTTCCTTCAAACTTAAGACTTTATGAAGAAGCTTGCCCCAAAAATAACAAATTGATTTTGTGTATCCTCTCTATGCTCATATATTTCTTAAATACAGTTGGGACGAAAGGGAAAAACGGTTATAAAAATCGATATATGTACATATACAAATAATGAATAACGGCAATTGACTTGGCGTTGCAAATATTTTCCATTAGAGTATTCAGCGTACACTGCGGGAATAATCATAGGGTTATAAGTGGAGAAAAAAAATTTATTTGTTTTTTCTTTTCAAGTCGCTTTCGTAGTCTCTTGTGTGCGGTTACACATTCATACATTTTTAAATACATACAATGATGATGATGGCTCTTCCTGTACCACCAATTCACCAATTTCTATCAGATTTTTGCTAGATTTCTAGAATTTTGTTGAATTTTTTTGTTTTTTAATTTGGGCACCGCAAAATAACGTTTGGTTCATCCCACAGCGCCAGTTTTGCTTACCAAAAATGGCCCGCTCGGCACATTATATCATCACCTTAAACTTCATATCAAGACAGTTAAGGGTTTAAAGTTTTTACCATTTAAAGTTTGAGAATAGGTAAAGATCGTTTCGACCCTAAGTCCTCTAATCATTAGGTTAAGATTTTAAGAGTTTAATATTTTTATTTTATGTGAGCTCCTATTTGCCGAGGTACCCAATAATTTTTCCGAAAGTCATGTGCTATTCTTTCGAATCTATTTATATGTGCACTGCAGACGTGTGTTTCCGAAAACCAATCGCTAAATCTCACATTGCTTTCCGTTTTTAAAATGCATTGGTCAAAAATAAGTGGCTTTATATTTCGGACATGGGGTTTCCTTTGCGAATTTTCGCAGTGAACAATGCTGTCCTTCAAAAGCTCGCTGCAGGTATTGCAGTTAACCTTTTGTTGGGATTTGTGCAAAACAAGGGGACTGAGCCTATTAGTGGAAGGAGCATCGGTAGAGTCGGATTTATCCAGGGTATGGCTTTCGATATTACTGTTATCACTGAGCAAAGTGCTTAGAGTTCCTTAGTGGTGTTATTTAAGGAAAACTCTTCGCATGGTAAGGGTTCTTTCTTCTCTAAAACTTCAATATCCATTTCTCGCAATGCCTCATCAATCACATTTATGAGCATGTGGTCACCATCCGGTTCACAATTCCCTGTTGTTGTTTTCGAGGTAATAATTTTCATTGACAACATTTTTGAAATTATTGCGTTAAATTCAAAAAGCATTGGGGGATTGATTGTAATAATAATACTTCTTATTAGATAGAAGAGGTTCTCCAATGCATCTTGATTAAGTCGAGACAGCATCAAAAAGGAAACATCTAAATGTTCGTTCACTTAATTCATTTGAAAAAGTGAAAGTTAAATATGCCACACAAGTATTTAGCCACACGGTATCTTCTGCAATCAAAACATTAATTGAAAGTGGCCATTTTGATGATTGCAGAGATGTGACACTGGGAGCTAATCCACTAACTGATTAGGCGGTCAGTTTTTACAACGTTTGACCACTCTATGAGTTGTTTTGCTTTCTATTAGGTGATAGATTTTTTTCAAAATTTAAAAGTCGAAGTGTAATGGTTCTTTTCGCGTAAGTATATCTCTTACATGATTATAGTATTTAAAAATATGAAACTTACCCCTGAGCTTTGTGAACCGTTGGAATTTAAAAATCAAGTGTTGAGCCTTTTATATAACTTTGCATAGATCACAACTATCCGAGTCTGAAGCTTTGATCTTGAACAAAAAGGGTTTGTCGTATGTGTGTCCAGTCATTAGTCTGTTTATTATTTTAATACTTTTGGCCTTCCATTTGCAACTACAGTGCCACGGATTTTTTGGTATTTCTAGAAAATACTCGACTAGATTTTTTAGGTTAGGTTTTAGGTTTTAGTTCTACATTTTAGCTTATAGTCCTCATTCCACATATTGAATATTTTGTTCTTTGTTTCCCTAAGAGCTTCTTTAATACTAAACTTGGTGTAAATTGCTTCTCCTTCTGTAGTAGCCCTTTTTGCCACAAGGTCGGCTTTTTCGTGAATCCCAACTCCTTCGTGTCCAGGTACCCAAATATTATATAATTGTTGTACCTCAGCTCTACTTATTATATTATGTATATCACAAACTATGTAAGAGTCTGTTTGCTTATGATTGATTAACCTAATTGCTCCCATTGCTTATATTTGTTGTTAGAACATAACTCACTAGCCTTCTTAATTCCTATTAACTCCGCACCTACTGATGAGAGACTCGATTGTATTTTGTACTTGTACATTTTGTTGTCAGGTAATTCTACAATGCCTATACCAACCGTGTCATGCACACGGAAATACTAATTGAGATACTTGTTCTGTATTTCAGCATATCTGGCTTTAATATTCTCTTCCGAGTAATCTTCTTTTTTTTACTTAATACCTTTTCTACTACATTTATTTTTGAACAGAACTTAAAATTGTAACAATTTCGTGTGTTTTCAAACAAATATTTAAATTCTCTTAAAGTGTTTATATAGCTAGTTACTGCACTTGCCATT